ATTCGGTTCGGTTCGGTTCGGTTTGGTGTTCGGTTTGATGTTCGGTTTATAAACTTGAAAATGATTATGTCTTGTTTCATATGTTACAATCCACTTTGAGTAAATGAGTAATTTTGAATGTTTTGTTTTCATTGAAATTCCAACTAAATGAAATACTAGAACCTAGCTTAAACAACCTGCCTTCACCTGCTAAACCAATTGAAACAAACTAAACCAAAGACTCACACAGAAATAGAAATAGAAATATAAATACAATTTGCTATTGATATCGCCAACCATAATAAATACAAATATGTCGTATTAGCTAACTTTGTCATAATGAATGTTTGAAATGTGTAAAAGTTAAAATAATACGAGTATATGCTTAAATATGCATTTTCATGTCTAAATTTTTTATTTATATCTTAAAATGAAGAGTGAAGATAAATACAAAGTGTGTGTGTGTGTGTTGTTCGGTTCGGTTTTGTTCGGTTTTGTTCGGTTTTTATCGGTTTCGGTTCGGTTCGGTTCGGTTTAATACGGTTTGAAAGAAATAGTACCAAACTAAAACCAAATTGCATACGGTTCGGTTTCGGTTCGGTTTAGTTCGGTTTGGTACGGTTTGGTTCGGCTAAACGAAACCGTTATGCCCACCCCTAAGGAGTATATATAGGGAAAATCCGGGTCTGGGCCTATAATATGGGCCTGACAGACCCGGTTACATAAATGGACTGATAGTATAAAAAGCTAATCTAGAACATCTGAATAATAATAATAATGTACAATAATATTAATGATATCCGCTAAACGTGTGTGGGCCGCTGTCCAGGCCTAGTAGTCGGCATACCGAGGGGTCGGAGTCCATATAATCCATCCAATGTTCTAAAAGGCGCTAGGCGCTAGTCGGGCGCCAGCCCAACGCCTAGCGCCTAGGCGGCTAGGCGGGCGCCTAGTCGGGGACTAGTCGGGGACTAGTCGGAGACCTAGAAATTGCATTTTTATCTATATTTGCATAAATATGCTAAGTAATATTGTATTTTTGTGTGTATAAAATACATATATACATATACATTAACAAACATGAAAGATAGAATTGTCACATTTAATCATACGTAGTATATGATAACTAATCACTTAACTTCATTATGTTATAAATATAAATAATGATAATTGATAAAATTTAGGTATATATACAAACATGTATAGTTTTATCTTAATTTACAACTTAATTTCTTTATATTCATGGCTAAAGTTATAGTACATATATTGCTTGGAAAATTAAAATTAAAAAGTAATGTTAGACGAATCTAGACGGCCTGCTAGGCGGCCGATAAAGTGCTCTAGGCGGGCAACTAGGCGCCATAGGCGGCCGACTAATTCACCTAGACGGCAAACCAATTAGTCGGTGCGCCTAGATGAAAATCGGGGCGCCCGGCCACCGCCTAGCGCCTAGGCGGGGACTAGTCGTGCGCCTAGAACGATTTTTAGAACAGAGAATCCATCACATGATATAAGAATTGAGAAAACTGTCAAATAAGTCCATCTACTTTTAATGAAAAATCAATTAAGTCCATCTACTTTTTAACGAGTCAATTAAGTCCATGAAGTATAAAAATTCACCAAACAGGCTTTTTTCTAGGTCATCTGCCGGTTACCCGGTGGAATGCTTGCGCGGATGTTCTTGTGGCCTTTTTTACTGTTCCATAATTTCTTTTCTTATTCTTTTTCATTTTCTCTTTCCTTCTTTCTTCTTTTTCTTTTCTTTTTTCTCTCTTGTTTCTTCTTTCTCCCAATTTTCCGTGTAGGTCTGCTATGTTTCCACTTTCCAGGCCTACAGTACAGTCCAATTTTCTACCGCCCGTGCCTCCATATCCACGCATCTGCAATCCACACCCCCCTCCATCTCGACCTCTGCCGCCTCACCTCATCTACTACAGTTACCTCCACCTCCCAGGCCACCAGAGCCACCGCCTCCAAGAGTCCAAGGCCCTCCCATCCGCCGCCCCTACATCCATAGTCACTAACTTCAAGCCTCCATCTCCGGCTCCTCCACTAAAGCAACCTTCTTCGCCCCTACCTCCATAGTCAGGCCACCACCTCCACCCTCCCATTGCACCTTCGCCGCCCTTGCTACATAGTCACCTCACCTTTTTGTTTCATTGCGAATTTCAATTTTAATTTCATTAGTTTAGGCATGAAAGAAAAAGAAAAGAGCGATTAGAACAGGCCGATGAGAACATTGAGAAGCGAAAGAGGAATGGACTTACGATTGATGAAGAAAATGGAATTGCCATTCATGGAGTTAAAGCTAGGGGGAGGGCTAAAACAGATGGGAGAATAACGAAAGGAAGAGAAGGAGAAACGAGGGAGAAAGAAAAGAGAAAAAGAAATAGAAAAAGAAAAAGAATTTTTTTTTAAAAAAAATAGAAAACCGAAAAAATGCCACCTCAGCATACACACTGGCAGTTTACCGGGTAGCCCTTTAATTACCTGTAAAATGGTTGATTTGGTTATTTTTTGGCACTTCGTGGACTTAATTGATTCGTTGAAAAGTAGATAGACTCAATTGACTTTGCACTAAAAGTAGATGGATCTATTTGACAGTTTTGTCTATAAAAATTTTATCAAAGTTTCGATCTCGAAGAAATGCAACCTTGAAGCAACGAATGGAGAGTTCGTGTATGTGTGATAGGGTTGTGGCAAATTATGGAGTACAAAAATCCAGAAAATGTGAATGTACTCAAGATAATTTTACTAGACAGAAGGTAATTTCAATTATATATATTTCAAAAATTAACTTCACAATTGAAGTTTGTGCAATTTTATACTTCATGCAATTTAAACAAATATGTCAAGTTAAATTAAAAATATATTTGTAATTAAATAATTATTAAAACGAATTAAATTTACTAAATATGTATTCATAACAAAATATTTCGGATTTATCTAAAATGTATTTCCGAATGATTAAAGTATTTTTCAAAAGGCAGAAGATAATTTTAGTGTTTTTGAAAATTTATATTCATAATCCAATAATTTTTATTCCATAACTATTTTACTCCGTATTAAATACATCCTCATAATTAAATGATTTCAAAAATAGAAAACACAATTTTCCCTAATTTATGCTCAGTTTGTGCTAAATTATGAACACACAATGTTAATCTGGATTTAATTTAAATATTTTGTTTAAGTTTGTATTTGTGTGATTTAAACAAATTTGTCTTGCTCAGTTCAAAATATATTTATAATTAATAATTATTTAAGCGTGCTTCAAAATTTAAGTTCATAGTTGAATAATATTTACTCCAAAACTATGTTATTAAATATACCGTCATGATTAAATAATTTCGATGATAAAAGAACACAATGTTTCCAATTTTATGCTAAATTATATGCTCTATTTTTTGTAATTCTATATTAACAAAGAAAAGTTGAAGAGCATTAGATAAAAAAAATTGATTTTTTACTCCACATGGTGAAAAAATTAAACAGTTCTTGAAAGTTACGGAAATTAATATGAAAAGTATATTGAATCCTACCGCCACAAAGCTTAAAGTCCCGCCCAGACTTCTAATACCCAAGGTTGAACATATTAGGGATAAGGATCAGATAGGGCCTCGAAGTTGAAAAAAAATGTTAAATAAGGCCATATTTATGATGCTCTGTCCGGCCGACGCCATTTGGGCGGTTCCCGGTGGATTTTTTTGATGAAATTTTTTGAAAATTTTATTCATTAAGTCTAGTTTACTCATATCAAATTTGAACTAAAACTTCAATCGGGAAGGCATTCGAATGAATTCTTGAAGATAATTGTGCAGTTAAAAGCGCAGTTATCTTCAAGAATTCATTTGAATGTCTTCCTGATTGAATTGTTAGTTCAAATTTGATATGAGTAAACTAGACTTAATGAATAAGATTCTCAAAAAAACTTCATCAAAAAATTCCACCGGGAACCGCCCCAAATGGCGTCAGCCGGACATAGCATCCTAAATATGGCCTTATGTGACATTTTTTCCCAAGTTCGAGGCCCTATTTGACTCTTATCCCAACATATTATCTTTGTTAATGTTCATAAAATCTGAATACATGCTACAAGAAAATCCGAATACATGTCACAATTAAACACATATCCGTCAAATCATACATCTTCTAAACTAGACTATACAGTTTAAGACTAGACCAGATAAAAAAAATTCCAATTCATGTAAAAACATCCTTAATTCCATTATTATTACATAGGTAGTAGAATTTATTGTTATACCTACCTTATCATTTCGTTTACTTTTTACTTACAGTTTAATAAGCACCAAGTTTAATTTCATACAATTACTATTTTATAATCAAAGCTATAACATATAAATTTTATTTTCTTTTTTATTTAACAAAAATACACATTACGTATCATCATAATAAAATGTTATTTTAAATAAAATTTTGTTCTGTTCTAGATACACCCCGTGCATCGCACGGGTACTTCGTCTAGTTTATATAAGTTTTATAACGGTATCGGAGTTGTCACCTTTTTATATAAGTTTTATACCTGATATATATATTTGTGTCTATATAAAGGTCACCAAAAGTCATCACATTTGACATATTTTTTTTCAAAATTGGAGCAAAAACATACTCCGTAAGTCATAGTTACACATTTTAAACAAAAAGAAGAGTTTTAAGTTGTCCCCATCGTATCCCTTTCTCGCTTTGCATATTGTTTTGGCAGGAGCTGTTACCGTATATTAGAAGACAAATAAAGAATATGACTAAAACAAAATCGTAAAGGTGGTAGATACTCAGAGAGCCCTAACACGCATTTTGCATTGCATCACTCTAAAAAATTACCACGTACAGACTACAGAGTATTTATTTATTTACATCCGAGTATTTAAAGTTGTTTTCAAATCTATATCTAATTAATCGAGTTAAGTGAAGTTCCCGCTCACCGTAGGGGCATTCCCGTAACTACGCGTACTTTCTACTCCGTATTAAACACCACCATAATACCTGGAGCTTTCTTCTTATGTTTCTCCTCTTCTCCACCCTTCTTCTACTTTCTATTCAATCTGGACTCTTAGAGCATTTTTAAAAAATGAAAATCCTCTTCTTTATCTCTTCCATTTCCTTGGTATTTTGGAATTTGGACTCTAAAAGATTGTTTTCAAAAACAAATTGCGATGAACTATTTGATTTCGCCGAAAGCTTTGGATTTGCTTCCGCTCAAGCATGGAGAGTCCATCTAGGTTAGTATTTTATCTGAACCCAAACTCTTTATACTTCGTATTTATATAGATCGAGCCTGCACTGTCAATCTGAATTATCCTCTTTAAGTTCGCCTAAATCCCTAGAATTAGGCGAAGCCGTCTATCGATTGAAATGGTTCTCATTGACAAGGAGGTACAACTCTTATTCTTCTTCTTTATTATTGAGTGTATTAACGAAATTGAAATTTAAAATCGATTAGTTCTATCACCCATACAAGAGATAAAAAACCGATTACGTATTATTCTTCTTTATTTTTGTTAACTCATTCTTTAACATTTGAATATCAGGCTAATTGAATACAGTTTTGTAGTTTTGCATATTCTACAGTGAGCTTTTGCACTTCTACAAGGCTAATCTTCATTTTTATTCTCATTTTCAAATTATTAATATGATAGAATCATGATTATTAAACAATATAGAAGGCAAATGAGCACATTCAGTTTGGTACTTTTATGCAAAGAGCTCAGGAGAGCCAGAACATTTACACCTTGTGATGCTATTTTGCAATCAGCATCCCTTTAAGCTGCATTTTGCACCCTTTTACCATTTATAAAATACTTTGCTTATGGCTAATCATCGTTCTAAGTCTGATTTTCAAACACTTTGTTTATGGCTATTCATTGTTCTAATGTCAACAACATATTACTCTTCTTTATTTTTGTTAACCCATTCTGTAACATTTGAATATCAGGCTAATTGAATACATTTTTGGAGTTTTGCATCTTCTGCAGTGAGCTTTTGCACTTTTTTAAGGCTAATCTTCATTTTTATTCTCATTTTCAAATTATTAATATGATAGAATCATGATTATTATACAATATAGAAGGCAAATGAGCCACCTGTGTTGGTACTTTTATTCAAAGAACTCAGGAGAGCTATAACATTTACACCTTGTGATGCTATTTTGCAATCAGCTTCCCTTTAAGCTGCATTTTGCACCCTTTTACCATTCATAAAATACTCTACTTATGGCTAATCATCGTACTAAGCCTGATTTTCAAATACTTTGTTAATGGCTATTCATCGTTCTAATGCCAATATAAGTCTCATTCACCAACTTATTTTCAAATTATTAATATGATAGAATCATGATTATTAAACAATATAGAAGGCAAATGAGCACATTCAGTTTGGTACTTTTATGCAAAGAGCTCAGGAGAGCCAGAACATTTACACCTTGTGATGCTATTTTGCAATCAGCATCCCTTTAAGCTGCATTTTGCACCCTTTTACCATTTATAAAATACTTTGCTTATGGCTAATCATCGTTCTAAGTCTGATTTTCAAACACTTTGTTTATGGCTATTCATTGTTCTAATGTCAACAACATATTACTCTTCTTTATTTTTGTTAACCCATTCTGTAACATTTGAATATCAGGCTAATTGAATACATTTTTGGAGTTTTGCATCTTCTGCAGTGAGCTTTTGCACTTCTTTAAGGCTAATCTTCATTTTTATTCTCATTTTCAAATTATTAATATGATAGAATCATGATTATTATACAATATAGAAGGCAAATGAGCCACCTCTGTTGGTACTTTTATTCAAAGAACTCAGGAGAGCTATAACATTTACACCTTGTGATGCTATTTTGCAATCAGCTTCCCTTTAAGCTGCATTTTGCACCCTTTTACCATTTATAAAATACTCTGCTTATGGCTAATCATCGTACTAAGCCTGATTTTCAAATACTTTGTTAATGGCTATTCATCGTTCTAATGCCAATATAAGTCTCATTCACCAACTTATTTTCAAATTATTAATATGATAGAATCATGATTATTAAACAATATAGAATGCAAATGAGCACATTCAGTTTGGTACTTTTATGCAAAGAGCTCAGGAGAGCCAGAACATTTACACCTTGTGATGCTATTTTGCAATCAGCATCCCTTTAAGCTGCATTTTGCACCCTTTTACCATTTATAAAATACTTTGCTTATGGCTAATCATCGTTCTAAGTCTGATTTTCAAACACTTTGTTTATGGCTATTCATTGTTCTAATGTCAACAACATATTACTCTTCTTTATTTTTGTTAACCCATTCTGTAACATTTGAATATCAGGCTAATTGAATACATTTTTGGAGTTTTGCATCTTCTGCAGTGAGCTTTTGCACTTCTTTAAGGCTAATCTTCATTTTTATTCTCATTTTCAAATTATTAATATGATAGAATCATGATTATTATACAATATAGAAGGCAAATGAGCCACCTCTGTTGGTACTTTTATTCAAAGAACTCAGGAGAGCTATAACATTTACACCTTGTGATGCTATTTTGCAATCAGCTTCCCTTTAAGCTGCATTTTGCACCCTTTTACCATTTATAAAATACTCTGCTTATGGCTAATCATCGTACTAAGCCTGATTTTCAAATACTTTGTTAATGGCTATTCATCGTTCTAATGCCAATATAAGTCTCATTCACCAACTTATTTTCAAATTATTAATATGATAGAATCATGATTATTAAACAATATAGAATGCAAATGAGCACATTCAGTTTGGTACTTTTATGCAAAGAGCTCAGGAGAGCCAGAGCATTTACACCTTGTGATGCTATTTTGCAATCAGCATCCCTTTAAGCTGCATTTTGCACCCTTTTACCATTTATAAAATACTTTGCTTATGGCTAATCATCGTTCTAAGTCTGATTTTCAAACACTTTGTTTATGGCTATTCATTGTTCTAATGTCAACAACATATTACTCTTCTTTATTTTTGTCAACCCATTCTGTAACATTTGAATATCAGGCTAATTGAATACATTTTTGGAGTTTTGCATCTTCTGCAGTGAGCTTTTGCACTTTTTTAAGGCTAATCTTCATTTTTATTCTCATTTTCAAATTATTAATATGATAGAATCATGATTATTATACAATATAGAAGGCAAATGAGCCACCTCTGTTGGTACTTTTATTCAAAGAACTCAGGAGAGCTATAACATTTACACCTTGTGATGCTATTTTGCAATCAGCTTCCCTTTAAGCTGCATTTTGCACCCTTTTACCATTTATAAAATACTCTGCTTATGGCTAATCATCGTACTAAGCCTGATTTTCAAATACTTTGTTAATGGCTATTCATCGTTCTAATGCCAATATAAGTCTCATTCACCAACTTATTCTGACGCTCTAATTCGGTTATTCTATTAATGCCTTATGCTTGACTCTGTAACATAGTTATATTTTTCTTCAACTATCAGGATACCCTAACTACTATACCAACATCCTGCTTTCTGTTGTTTTTGACAAACTTTGAAAAATATGCGTAACCAATTTTGAGTTCTAAAAATATACAATGAATGCTTAACCAAACTTTGGACCAAAAACAAGGTTAACCAATTTTTTCTTTTTTATATTCATGCAGGGACGCGCATACAAGCCACAATTGAAAATGATCATGTTTCTACCTTGAAGGACAAAATTAAGGAGTATGATCTTTATGGAATGATGCGTTTTGACGTTAGGGCTAATAACGGTGAATATTGGCCTACTTCACATCCTTTCAGGTTATATTTTAAAGAGAACACGAAGATCAAGGAGCGTGATCTTTCGTTAGAGACAAAATTCCCAAGGGATTTGTATTCAATAACAAGTTTCACCGAGATTACAAATGCGCACAGGAGAGCTGGAGATGACTTATTCGGTAATAATTCATAACATTGCATTTGTTTTTAAAGGATTTATCCTTGCAGAATTCATTTTTTCCCTACTTCGCTTTTTACATATACAATTGGAAAGTTTAACTGTGACACCATCAAATATTCCTTGCAACCAGATGGATTGGCGCGAGCAGCAGAATTTATCCTAGAAGATTTGGAGTATAACTCCGTATCAGAATAATCTATTAGGCGTAATTATTGTTTAGTATTATGAATCTATGAGTTGCTAAACATTGCATTTGTTATTTTCATATTTTTATCGACATTAAAAAGCAATTGTCATGTACACTATGGAGTAAGTATGCTCAAGCTTTGAAAAAATTGACCTTGACTTCGACCGAGCCACACATTATGCTTCTCCAACTTTGTAGAGCAAAGACCGACTGTGGTAAACATTTGTAAATTGATTATGTAATCTAATAATCTATTCTCTATACTTAACACAATAAAAAATTTAATATCATAGGTGAAGTTATTCTTGCAAACTCCATCTCCTGTACAAAGGTTATAGTTGATGAGAATATCCTTGAGATTGAGGATTTCCGTAATAAGTAAGCCGCTTCTCCCCTCTATTTGATTTAATATAGATTGATAGCACTAAATGAGCACTAAAGTAATAATACGCAGCATAGATTAAGTCACTGAATAGAATGCTTTTTTATCCAGATTGTTTGGGAAAATATCAAAATATTTGTACCTGATAAAACGAAAGCAACCAAGAAATCACATTCATATTTACATGTTTGAATCTATATACCTTTAACTAATACGGAGTAATTGATTATTAGTTTCTTTACTAAGTAATAATTGATTATTCGTTAATTCTACAAATTGCACGAGATTTTTTATAGATCCTGCATTAGTGAAACCAGTGGCTGATACACTTGTAATTTCCGTGTGTATGTTTATGTTTTTAGCTAGTTTTAATTGTTTAATATTTCGGAAATTACACACTTTTGGTGTAATAGTCATGTTTGTAAAATAGTTGTAATATGTTTAGATTAGGTCCATTCTGAGTTTAAACAGGTCCAAGATCAATCCAATGATCATTGGTGAAGGAAGGTGCAAGAGTACAAGACAAAAAGAAGGCAAAATCCTGATTTTTGACCTATACTCGATCGAGTATAGCATATACTCGATCGAGTATCTTGTTGAGATTTCAAATCGGATCGGATCTGAAAACAAAGGAACATGCAGGGAAGATTTTGACCACGATCGAGTGTCGATACTCGATCGAGTACACCGACATACTCGATCGGGTATGACTATAATTTATACTCTGAATTCGGTCGAGTATGGGTCGAATTCAAGTTTCTACTCATACTCGATCGAGTATATATACATATACTCGATCGAGTATGCCTTTAATTTTAAACCTGAAATCGATCGAGTATACCTCGAATTTGCATTTCTACACATACTCGACCGAGTATCTTTATATACTCGATCGAGTACCCGAGCTGCACTCCCAAAAAGCCTATAAATACACCCCCTTTCCTTCACAATAGAATACCAATTCACATATACTCTTTAGCTCAGTTTAGATTAGTGTTTTCTTTATATTTTCTATCATGTTTAGTCTCCAAATGAGGAGCTAAACTCTTCCATCTTGGTTTTGCTACTTTGAAGCTTAATGATTTGTAAGTTGTGAGTTATTTTCTTTAATCTTCTTCCTTGAATATTAATTACTTCCTATCCATATTCCATATTAATATATTGAGCATTACTTAAAGTATCAACTAGTCTTTTTCTATATATTAATTATTACTAGAATCAATCGGTTAATACGCTTGTTATTAATTCGGTTCTTTCACGGTAGTAAACTTGGGTTGTTAATGCATGCTTCTCATGGTTAATAAGCCAAGGGGAATTAATTATATTGATTGAACCAATAAACCGCTTGTGTTGAGGTTATCAATCTCAATCGTTTTCATCTTGATTTTATTGCTACTATCAAGTTAATATACGGCGCTTGTTCTATATTGACTCGGTAGTAAGTTTTATTAATGAACGCTTCTCGTTATTAATAACTACCCTCGATGAACTGGATATACTCCTCGATTGAGTATTCGAGAGGAAGATAGTTAAAGATATAACCGGGATCGACGAACATTTCATTAAGTAGATAAAAGCAAAGCCAAGTCTCCTTCTTATTAATTAAACCACATAACTCGTTCATCTTCGTGTTTAAATATAATTTAAGTTCATTTACTCAACCTAAACCCCCCATTGTTACTAGTTTATAAAGAGAGAAGTATTCCTTTCCATGTGGATACGAACCTTACTTCATTATACTACGTATAATTGTTGTATTGTATTATTTTGAGTGCACACCACGACAAAGTGCACGTCAGTGGCTGAACTGCTTGCAATTACTCAGGTTATCCTATTTGAATTTAATTTGACTCATGCTCATTTCCTCTTATATACTTCGTTTTAAACGTATTTTAATGTATTAGAGGTCTCGATGTTGGATTTTCGGAAAAATTACAACTATTCTCAATCGAAGAGCTCAGAACCTATCAAGGGTGCGTAAAAGACTCTTGCTCTAAAAAGGCCTCTCTAATCATGGTGACAAGTTTAAGTGCACTAAATGCAAAGCAGTGTTCGACCAGGGAATATATCGATATAAGATTATTGTTATCGTGAAAGATTCTTCAAGGTTTGTTACGTTGTGCCTGTGGGATCACGAGTGTCGTCAGTTGTTGCACAAAACTGCGGGACAACTCAGAGAACAATTGAATCTTGTATGATAATTCATAATAATTGTTTTAAGTTATACCCTAAAATTATGTTAAATATGTATTTAAATAAATAATAAATTTTTATAATTTTTATCTTTCAGAGTGGCATTCATGAGACAGCGACATCAAAATAAATTAATGATTTAGTGGGTCAGCATCTCCTATTTAGGGTTGATATAAGCGAGGAGGATTTAAAAAAAAAAGTGACAAAGTTTTCTCTTTGAGGTGCCTCACGCAAAATGAAGAGCTCATGAACCATTTTCTAGCAAAAGCAGATGATGAACAACAAGTGGTATGTAAATTAATAAACTTCTATTTAATTTTGTTCATGTAAGCCTTTTCTTTTTTAATGCCTATCAATTTTTTAAAATTGAATTCTCTATGAACTGGACTCTAATGATGATTTGAAAAAAAAATCAGTCAGCCAGGAACGACTTCATCAAGTGTGAGTAACACTTTAAAAAAATTAACAAACTTATTTTGAGTTGAATATTGTATTAGTTTCATTTTGACATTTGTGAACGTATCACCATATTTCCATTTAAAAACTGAAACGTAGCATTCTAAATTTTGTTTTCATCTCTATCAGTCATGACCATATTTAAATATTAAGAATGAAATATATAGAAATAATTTATGTTATCATTGCATTTCAGACTATTGATGATACCATGACTTCAGTTATGTATTAATTTCTTTTACAAATTTTATCACCTGGTGAATGAAACCATGAGAATTGTCAATCTTTGCTTATTGATGATGAACTTAAAAATGGCCTAAAGGTAGTCAGTTTGTATCATTTATACATCCATATATTCCTACGGTGGACAGTTTTTGCAGGGAGGATTAAATTGAAAAGAAAACTTTCATTTTAGTGCACCACCATATATATGACATTGCCTGTTAGCCAAGCTGGTCACATAAAACAATTATGTATACAAAATAAAAGAGCTAATGGTTAATGTCATATATATTAGTTTTTCTTAATACTCTTCTATGAAAATCAATTATGAATAGTTTTTTGGGCTAATGAACAATGTCATAAATGAATTATGAGTTATTTTTAATACTCTTCAATAAACAGACTCACACATACAAGCATATGGTGTGTTGTCAGTTGCTTCTGAGAGTTTTTTGACAGTTTTTGCTTATGAGTTTTTTGAGAGTTTTGGCAGGAAGGGAGGATTAAATTGAAAAGGAAAATTGTGTTGGGAGACCATTCCTCTCTGTAGTGTATACTTAAGCTTTATTTATTAGCTGACTTATGAAATTGAGATGATACTAAAGATGGATGAAAAGGAAGTTCAAGGTTAATGAGGTCCATAAAATTAAAGAGCCCAAGGTTTCATCTTCTTTAGATACTTCCACTAAAAAGCCAAAAGAAAGTACTGGGGATAAAAAAAATTGATTAGTTTAACTCAATTACTCTGCAAAAAATCAAACTGATCCGCTATATAAAAAATTGACAATTTCAGCTGCTCTGCTAAAAAAATCAATCAGAACTGCTCTGCCATAATGTTATTTTTTGTATCTATATCTTGCCTTATTGTTTATAGAATATGTATGTTATTGATGCTGAGGATGCCACCATTGCCACCCCAAGTTCAAAGAGACCTTTGTTTGATGTTACAGAGTGTCAAGAAGGAACATCATCAACCCAAAACTCTACTACAAAAATGCACAAAGCTATCAAAGTTGAGAAACCATGATGATTTCTTCATAGCTGTTTGGGACTTGAATAAAGCTTTTATCTATGCTCATAATTTTTTTAGGATTTTAATAATGTTTACAGACATCTGCAAGTTCATTTTACATTGGGATGATTTTCATGTTTTCTCTTTGTGATTTTAGCCACTGGTAATTTCATATCTTTGATATGTAATTTCATATTGAATGCAATCTTTTGAAGTTGATACCTATATTCTAGAATAATATTTCTAAATACTATGTGTATGTCAAAACACTACTCAATCTAAGTAGATAGCACACTAAAGTAGTTACTTGCAAACGAAAAAAAGAAAGTACGAGATAAAATCCTACCCAAAAATGCAGAAAAGGTGATATTGGGTCTACCTTAGAATAATTACCCTTCACATAAGAAGAAGAAGAAACATCTTTGGAAACACCTTTGGATTTCTCTGAGTAGCTTTTCCATCCAATGAATTGTTTATGACTGATTTGGAGATCATGTTCCCATTGGGACATTGGGTTTTCTGTATTTACCTTTCTTTGGAACAGAAACCATAGTACGTGGCTATGTGCAGCGCTTGAAGGCTTCTGTAATGCTTTAAAATTGTGAAATTAGATACCCACACGGTCCATAAATAGCGTAAGGAAAGTTTGAAGACGTTGTAAGAAATATAGCATTTTCGGTAAATTCTCAATAGATTAAACTCCCTTCATCCTAAAATGAATCATTTTAGCAATTGAAGGGGAGTTTAATTTTTTTTTTTTTTTGTGGCAATGAATTGTTAAAATCATTTTAGGATGTAAGAAATATAGCATTTTGGGTAAATTCTCATGTTGATATTTGTACTAATTTTGTCCACAGGTATGCTTCAATAAAGTTATTGAGACCAAAAATCGAGTGGACGGTCTTCAATACCTTACCTACAATTGTGTCTGCTACATTTACAATTTTCTGACGTAAATTTGAGAAGATTGTTTGTTTGATCGTTAACTTTTATGTCTCTAATATTCAAGAATTTGTAATTAATTAACAACATCTAATATGTGTTAATTAACTCATATTAGTGTTGAAGTATTTTGAAGAGGTTGATTGAAAGCATTTGCATAGAATAAATATCATTACAAATCATTTTATTAATTCGATACCCGTGCAACGCACGGGTGAAAGACTAGTTACTGCTAAAAAGATATCTATGAAATAAGAGTTGGGTTAAAACTTACAAGCATTTTTACCAACACGGCTTCCTAGGCATTCTCGGCGCTGGCAGATTGGGCTCGTTCAAAAAAATCGAACTGCTAAAAAATAGAAGTCGAAATAAACCAGAACTGCAAAAAATTGAAACCGAATGTAAAAGTTGAATCAAACCGTAATTGTTTGGTTTGATTTTAGTCTTTACCCTTTAAAGCCGACCCGAATAAACCGATTGAACCAGTGGCGTATCCAGTAAATTTGGTGAGTGGGGGCAAACTTGCACTACAATTTAGTCTCATATTTCACAAATAGCAAATCACATCATTAATATTGTTTGATTAAATTTAGTTTAAGATATATATGTATCAGTATGAATAAAAAGAAGATTAATTTATATTACAGGTGTGTAAAGATGCAATTGCGGATAAAATTTGAGAAAAATTACCTAAATATAAGCTACACATAACAAAATTTAGTGAACTTTTTAGCCTTTCATTATTTTGATATGAAAGAAAACACTCTTAATTCTATTTTAGTTTTTTTTCTACACTAAACTCTTATTTTGAGCAATTTCTTATAAAATTTTAAATATATACAGGGGTTGGGGTTGAGTAGGGGCAGCTGCCCCCGCTGCCCCCATAGTGGATATGCCACTGGATTGAACTGATTAAAGTATAATATTTTACTTGTTAATTGTTAAGCATTCATCCTAATATCATCAATATTCTGTGGTTTTTTGTGCCGGAATATTATTTTTTGTATTATGATTAATTTAGTTTATCAATGCATTTACACATGCATTCATTGCTTATTATAATGTATGTATATAGATCTATTGTGTCTTTTATATATGTATGTTGCAATGTGTTGTATGATGGTGATATGTTTTACTCGTTATTACTAGTACGTACTTAACTTTATTTATATGTAACTTAATTTTTTTTTTATTGATAGAAACAATAAATATATATATCTCAACTACACCACATAAAACATATTTATTCATGAATTCATTGAATAGGGTTATTGTGCATCAAATTGACAGTTTGGATGGTTATATCAGGCCTTCCTGACCGGAACCGTCGCATGGCCCCGACCCATCCGCTTAAGTTGCTTCTGGGTGCATTTTGTTTTATTTTATGAGCATGCTTTTCATAAAGTATAGATTATTTGATCGAGTTTCACTTTTAAATTCAATCGAGAGTCAGTGAAATAGTTTATTCAAAAATGTTGTGTTTTTATAAATATTTGGTGCAATATTTTTCAGTATACAAAATCAAAATTTATAATAAAATTTTAGCATGGCCTTTCCAAAGAATAAGACTCCTTTAACGAATATTTCTAAAATAAATACGGAGTACAATAGATAAAAATTTACGAGTAGCTTAATTTAAAGTTTTCTATAGAAGTGAATAACTATTACATTTATGTATTTATTTAGGAGAATTTTGACTTTTCATTCAACTTTTTTTTGTGCAATTTTGTAATATTTCAGCCGGTTTTTATAAACGTCTCAATCCCAACGGTTTTGAGCTCTGTCCCTCCTGGGGCCTTACCAATTATAGTCAAACAAAACTATGGTTTATTTGAGTTACTATCCAGAAAGATAAACAAAAAAAAAACTTCGAATGCCACTAAACGGTAAAAAAGATCCGATCCGCTGATTTTTATTGAAACTCCATCATATTGAAAGTAACATTTCGTAACTCCAACTTCAAGATATGTATTTTCGGAGCTGTGTATCAAAATTTCAATCTTTGTTTGTAAAGAATTCTTATGCTAAAAGCTTGTGTTTTCTCCTAAAATAAGGGAAAAGGGACAAAAAACTCATTGAAGTTGTTCCTAAGGAACATCTATACCCTTAAACTTTTTTTGAGTGCAAAAATCTGTAAAATCTCTTATTGAAGGGCAATTGCACCCTTAGGAGTTAAGACACGGAAGGGAAGTTAACGGAACCAGCGTTAATTTTATGGGCAATTGCACTCAAAGGGCAATTGCTCGTTTGAGTTTATTTTTTTTACTAGTGTTGTAACGCGCATTGCGTGATTAAAGTAGTGTGTCCAATTATTTTTATCCAAATTTAACATAAGTTTTTTCCTTGTAAAAAAGAAATGATTGATTAACACTATTTAGAACTCGTGTAGAGAAATGAGTTATGAATCCTTTTTTAGCGCACGATGATATGTTCTACTATGTATATAATTATAAATTATATAAAGATAAAAAATACTCCGTAGTACATGCGACAATGAAAGTAAACTGAAAAGTAGTTTGTTTTTTCTCCACGCTCCTATATTATAATGAGTTACATACATGAATATCTATAAGTTAGTCTTTGCTGATCCGGCCTTCCTTTTTTCATTTAAAAGAGGTGCATTCTTTTGCTTCAATAGCAATGATTAAGAGTAACACTATGTAGCTAGGACTCCTAGGAGTAATCGAGTAACCACCCCAAGCCCTTTGAGGCCGAAGTGTTATACTCTGCATCAAAATGTGTTGGAGATTTATTGAAAATAAAGCTCAATTGTTAATTTACATGGTCCTTAATCATTTTATAATAAATAGTGTGATTTATAAAATGATGTTATTTGAATATAATGATTATTATTATAATAAACATCACATTTGTGCACATGTTATGGTGTTTTATAATAATAATATTATATGGCCTTGAAATACTCCGTACTAACTTTAATGTTATTTTAGTTGATGCCGTATTGCGGCTGTTTGTACAGGCACCGTATATTTATTTCAGTTAATTTTCGTATACGGAGTATTAATTGGAAATTATTTTAAAGGATGTTATTATCCTTTTGAAAGTGCAGCAGCACCTGTTGTTTTGTTTTTATTTTTAATTAAAAGTAATGTTTGTGTTCTTTTGAAAAGGTACAATGTTTCAAGGCTAATAACCGTTTTTGCAGTTGACCATTTCGGCTATTCCTTTTCAAAGAGAGACTCTTCTACTTATAAATTTGAGGGCCATGTGAATTGAGTTGATACGGCAAATTCATTTTGTCAAATTCTCAAATTGCCATACTCCATTACTTTTATCTGCAGTATTAGTAATAAAGTGTTTAGACCACTTTATATACATATCACTTGTTTAGTGTTATTTTGTCAGTAGCCAAAGTACACTGTACACCTTCTTTTTATCCCAAAAGTTCTATCTTGTAACCCGGTTACTGTGATAAGGGTAGATAGTAAACTTTTAGGAAAGCGTATTTGATACGTGACTAGAAGTGATATCCGGTCCAGCCATATTTACACCTTATATTTCACCATTGTTATCCTCCGGTTCTAACAAAATGCACTACAAAGAAGCCTATATGAATAATGCCTAGTATATTTTTCAAGTGCTTCAAACTTCTATTCCAACTAATATATTGCTACTACTCATATCTTAGATACTACTCCTATCTTAGAGTCCGTTTGGTAACTCTGTTTTTCGACTTATCAGCCAACTTTTTAACCAAACACGTAATTTTTGATTTCTCGTACTGAATTGTATAATAATAAGAAAAAATAAGGTTGAAGTTACTTTTTCTGGCTTTATTGGTTGAAGTGACTGTAGATCACCATTTTAGCTATTTTTCATATTTGTTTTCTTTATTTTATTATTAAAATATATTTTAAATATTTTTCTTCATATATCAACGGAATCGGCTCTTGGCAGGGGCGTAGCTAGAGGTGGGCCAGTCCTGGCCCTGGTCCAGCCCAAATTTTAAAAATGCTTTTATTTTTAGTGTAAAAAAATTCGTGTAATTTTTTTTGTCAAAAATATTCTTTGTATCGGCCCAGCCTGGCCCAGTGTTCTGGCTCCGTCCCTGGCATTTGGTATTCTCAGTTTAGAGAGGAGCAGTTTTTTACAATTTCAATATACCTGGTCCTGGTTAATAGAAAATGTCAACATAACAAAAGTTGATGTCAACAGAAAATGTGACATCAACTTCCATTCCAACTAATATATTGCTACTACTCATATCTTAGATACTACTCCTATCTTAGAGTCCGTTTGGTAACTTTGTTTTTCGACTTATCA